CGTGTTCCATGGGTATATGACATTTTTCATCATTTGAATTTTTCGAACATAACACTGTATTATGTGGCTTTGAACAATATTTACACATTCCTGCACGACATTTAAAAATGGGATGCGTTTTACTATCTTTCAAACAATTAGCACATAACTTATTCCTTTTAATAATATCCCATTTTTCTTTGATAGGGAGTTCTAAAAAACTATCACATTTAAATAACTGAGAATGAGAATTACTCTTACAATGAACGCACACATTAGCCACAAGTTGGGACGAAAAAGCGTATCTGCTACCTGAACCGCGAGTTTTAATTTCAGAAGGCAAAACTGCCTTCTCCCTCTGGCACTTCGCCAAAGAGGCAATAGCATTCGCTCTGTTTAAAATAAAACGCTTGAATTCAGCGAAAGCAGAAATTTTCTTGTTCGAATGCTCCATCGTCCACTCTTTTAGTGTTTCATGATCAAGTTTTCCTTTTAACAGAAAAAATAATCATAGTATCCCAATGCTCTACCGGCTGTTTAAGGATTTTTTGTTTAATGTATCAATTAATCTCCGCAAACCTGAAGCTGATTCATGTTTTAGAACAGGTTGTGAAGTTAATTTATTTAATGCTGCGTTTATTATTTCTATTTCGTTTTCATACGTTTAAGCGCTTCCCATGCCTTTTCATAATTGCGTTTGAAATTTTATTTTCAATGTTTATATTTCGTCAACGTTTCATAACGCTTTCAGTAAGCTGCATCTTACCGCAAGGCATGCCTTTTCTAAAGTGAATTCGCAGAATTTCGTCTGCATCTTTTGAATTTTTGTAAAATTGCTGACTGTAGTAATGTTGTCAATCACAGAACAGCTTCACCTTTCACAGAAAGCTTAAGATATTGCAATTTTTGACTGTCACTTAATGTACTATTATTTCCAACACTGGCAAGAAATAAATCCCTGAATGATATCCAATCAACATAATTAGAAGTAAACACTGGCAATTCCACGCGAGGAAGTTTCAAGCCGTTTGCATTAGCATTTATTATATCTTTGCCTGAATTTCTAAGTTTTCTTGATTCTTCCTTTAAAGTAATTTTTAATGCATCTAATTTGGAAAATAGTTCATTCATTTCTATTTCATATTTACTAAACTCTGCGTCAGAACAGAACAAGTACCAAGAATGTTATCATTTAAAATGTTCACTTCAACACTCAATGCAATAATATCATTTTTGTACACTTCAATGGCAGAAAAAGAATTTTCTTGAGTTTGTAAACTATTTACTTGTGAAATTAAACGAGTCAACTTACCCTTAATGATTCGTTTTTGCTTTAAAATCGACTCCATATTCCTGCTGCTGTTCTCACAATCCAGACCAAAATAAATCTGTTTTCCTTGCAAGAAATGTCCTTCTATATCAAAACGTTAAAAATGTCTTGACACATCATCCAAAGAAATGCGCTGGCTCACGACGGACCATGTTAGCGGATGGAAAGTAGACTCAAACGTTCGTTATTGCGTTTATTAGACTGTGTGAAGAACAAGTTCGTACAATAGATAAACAAGTAGTTCGGCGCTCGCAGGCGCCCTCTTGCAGGGAACAAAATCAAAATTTACATAAGGCGCGAACAGAAGCTACGGGGGAAAATATTGCCTCCTTGGTAATTAATGAGTTGAAACAACTTAACATCCCAATATCAAACTGCATTTCATTTGGTGCGGATAATGCTCATGTCATGGTGGGTGACAAAAAGGGTATAGCCTCTTTCCTCAAAAATGACCAAAATGAATTAATTGTTATTGGATGCCCATGCCACTTAATTAATTTGGCAGCAGAAAAGCTGCAGCTGCTTTACCATTAAATATTGACCAGCTTCTGATTGATGTGTTTTTCTATCTGGAAAAAAAAGTGTAAAAAGGAAAGAAAACCTAAAGAATTTCCAAGAACTGTGCTCTGGTGAAACGAGAAAAATTCTGAAACATGTATGCACGAGATGGTTATCCTTAGGCAGAGCGCTAGGAAGGTTTATTGAACAGTGGGATGCATTGCTAAAATATTTCCACGAAGAGACCAAAACGAAACCACAGATCCCATCAAATTTGTCGGCATATAAGATTCCGAAAACCAACTTTGCTTCTAATCAAAATGCTTTAAAAGGGAAAAGCCAACACACAGAATCAAACCCTTTAAAAAGAAAATGCTTAGAAGACTCCTCAAAGGTCAACTTTGTTAAAGAAGTTGAAGGGAAGAAGAAACAGTCTTCTATTAGCCGGGAGGAAAGGATTTTCTATCTTCTTTCTTCGGATTTGAACAAAGCATATTGTAGTTTTGTGTTAAGTACCATTAAGATTTTTGAAAGTGTAAATACCCTTCTACAATCAGCTTCGCCAAAATCTCCCCTGCTTATCCAAATTCTTAATGATCTTTTGAAAGAACTTTATACTAAGTTTGTAAAAAACCGTCCGTTGTGAAAAACAGTGTGTTGATTCGTGTTGCCTATAATAGTTTGGCAAATCAAAAGGATGACAATGATCTTATAATTGGAAATCAAACCAGGGAACTTGTAAATTCTTTGAAAGATCATGAGAAAAAAGAATTTTTTCAATGTGTTAGAAAGTACTTTTCCTCAGCCTGTGATTACATTGTAAGGAAGTTTCCTTTGCAAAATGAAGTTCTTTTAAATGCTGAAGTGGCAAATTTGAAACAAATTGAAAATTCATCTTTTGAAAAGATTCGTTTTTTTATTGATAAATTTCCATTTTTGTTAACAATTAAAGAAAATGAATGCCATAATGATGCTTTAGATGAACTACAGAACCAATTTTCTGCTGCACAGTTTGAAGACTTTGCCAGTTCTGGAGAAGATAGACTTGATGTCCTCGTTGGTACCTTAAAAAGAATAAAAAGAGCTGATGGAACACCAAAATATGATAGACTAGCAAGAGTTTTATGTGCTATTCTCGTAATTCCACACAGTAATGCTGAGTGCGAGAGAGTCTTCAGTGTTGTGAAGAAAAACAAAACTATGTTTCGTTCTTCAATTTCACCAAAAACTCTAGAAAACATTTTAATTGCTAAATGTTATGAGGAAACTAATTGTTATGACAGGAAATTTTCCAAAGAATTTTTGGCTAAAGCCAAAGAAAATGCACTCTAAATTCATTGCAATAATTTTTTTGTGTAACATTAAGTTCTTGTTTTATGTTTCCTAATAATAATAAATTTTTTAGTTACTACTTAATTGAGATTTACTAATGTAAGTACAATTTTCTTTTTTCTATTTGCATAAATTGTTATTTTTTTAATATCAAAGCATGATATTAATTCTTTGTGTTCTTTTGAATTTTGGAGAAATCTTCTGAATTTGGGGGTGAAAGCTTCTGAATTTTTATCTTTAGAGTTTGGCAGGTATGAGTATGATTATTTCTTGGCAAGATGCTTTTATGTAAAGTACATCATTTATTGTGATCAATAGTTCAGTTAATATGATCAGAATATGATTGATCGAATCTTTTAACCTAAAAGAATCATGAAGATATCATTTGCAAATTGAAACAAAATTGGAATGAAACCGGAAAACAGATATACAGTAAGAAAGGTCATGGTGTGGAGAAAGCACTGAAGATTTGGTTTAAAAAAATTTGTGAAGAGGATGTGACAATAGGTGTATCAGTAGAAAACTGAAAAATTAATCATAAAATTGGGGGAGGGTGGCTTTGTAGGCTGGTTTAGCCAATTAAAGGAACCATTCTTTACAAAGATTAAGTGCCGTATAGTCAAGAAAAGATGCTGATTAACTTGCTGCAGGAACATGTTTGTGAAATGAGTGGCCTAAATTGATTAGGGGTATTAACTCGAACTGACATGTTTCGACTACCTCCCTTCTTTCTCTGCATTATTACTGCGACACCTCTCCTTGCTTATGCTTTCATTCTGTTAAGACACTTCTGCTAATTTATATTCACTTCCATTGCCATAGTATCAAAAATGTTCTGGAAATAGGCACGATTGGGAGTGCCAAGTGAATTGTGGCCACAAAAGTGAATTTCAATAAATATGGAATTTAATTTGTCTTGACTGTTTCTTAAAAATGGATGTATGCTCTAAGCATACTCTAATTTGTTTATCTACGCCATCAGTATTTCTGCGTTTGTACGTCTCAATGCTCCCAAACTTTTGCTATTATATATATGTATATGAAAATATGGTTTTTCCTGCTGCTTTTGGTCATGTTTAGAATGTCTTTTTGAAGTTTGGCAGATTTTAAGTATCTTTATTGTCAGATTTAAACATGGTGATAAATGCTAACATAATTTTTAAATTCAGTTTTTCTAGTCAGAAAGTAAAAAAAAAAAAAAAAAAAAGCTGTTGTAAATGTGTTTTGGGTAGAGAATATAATTTTACATGATAATCAGAATTTTTCTTTCCTTTAAGTATGTACAAAAATGTGTAGATTTTGATGATTTTTCACTGTAAATAAATTATGTTTTTTTTTTTTGGAGGGGGAATTGGCAAGTATGCACTTATTATAATCTACTCATTTGATTTATTGGAAAAGTATTTTCTCTGTGAACTATTTGCGACTTGCATAGTTTACTTATCAGCTTTCTCTCATTTTCAAAATGAGCCCTTAGCAATTGAAGCCATAAGATGTTAGTAGGAATCTTTTGATATTTATTACCATAAATGGGATAAAAGGTTTCTCTTTTCCTATAAATTATTTCATTGAGGTGATGCTGCTGATAATAGTTTTTCCAATTCAAACCAAAAATGCATGTTTTGAAAATTATTTATCTTTAAAGCTACAATTATTGCCTAGAAATCTAATTAATTTCAAAGAATATCATCATTCCTGATCCCAAAACAATTATTGTAGAATGTTATGCTAATAGCTTTGTAGAAGATGGAAAAATTGTCAATAATTTAATATCAATATCTAAATAATGATTTAACAGATTACATATATTTATGTAAAAGGTATTTTATGCAATTTGCATTTAACATATTTGATATTTTAGGTGGTGTCTGGAAATTTACCTGTCAATCATACAATCATATATCAATTGCAAGATATTTTTAATTTATTACCAGATGCTAGTGTAAGAGAATTTGTTAAATCAATGTATGTGAAAACAAATGATCAAATGCTTGTTGTATACTTAGCATCTCTATCAAGATCTGTCATAGCCTTGCATAATCTCATCAATAACAAAATTACCAACAGAGATGCTGAGAGGAAAGAAAGTAGTAAAAAAGAAGAGGTGAAGGAGAGAAAAGACAAAGAAGAAACAAAAAGTGATGAAAAGAAAAAAGATATTAAAAGTAGCTGAAATAATGGTTCTCAGCAACTTTTACTATATAATTTACAGTTCTAAATAAAAATTTAAAACTGTTTTTCTCTCTTATTTTTTACATAAACAAAGCTAGTGTATTTTGAAGTACAGTAATTTGTTCCATAGCAGTTAGTGTTAATTATATATGCTTTTTAAATCGACACTGGTTTTTTTTTTCTGAGCTTTCCTGAAACTGATGGTAGATGCTGTGACATTTCTCTTTAAGAATGTTAGTACTCACATATGATAAAGCTTTACTTTTCACAAAAGTTCTTATACAAATGGCTGTGTTTATTATATATTTTAAACTTTGTCATTCATATTACAATATCTATGTTTGAAATATTCTAATTAAACTTTGACCAGTTCTCAATTTCAAGTTCATTTTAGAAGAAAAGTGTCAATATATATGTTAGATTTTATATTTTTGAGATAAAAGCTTAAATATTTGTAACATAGTAATGTGTTTTATATTTTATTTTTGTAAGAAAATATAAAAACTGCAAATATTTGTATGTTTGACTTCTTTATTACCAAAGAGAAATATTTTTTTCTTTTTGTATATTTTTATTAGGATAATTTCTTAGCTTATATTATTCTTTAGCCAAACAGTAAATTTTAAAATATTTTAAATTAAAAAATAATATTTTGTGAAGATTTTCTTATCCTCAAGTGCTTTGCCATAATACAGTCCTATGCATGTTTTTAAAGGTGTTTCTTAACATCTGTATTTCTTTGCAGTTTTACCAATATGCATTAACTGTGATGCTTAGTTTGTTTGTGTGATATCAGAATATATTTTCAGTGTGTAACATGTGTTAAAAAAAAAAAAAAAAAAAAAAAAAAAAAAAAAAGAGGGGTGTAAATATCTTCTCCTTTGTCCATCACATTCAGATTCCAGAGTAATAAATCCTTATAGTTTATACCTTCAAAAATTAGGTAAAAATATCAGTTGTATGCCTGTTGTTTAATAACTATTACATAATCCCACCGTATGACATCAGACTCGTATAAGTGATGTTCGCTTATAACAGAATGAAAGGGAATATGTTTCACTTGTTGCTTATATAAAACATCATTCGGTGACTAATTTACGAATTCAGTCAGTCGGGCAACAAAAACTTGCTGCTTTTCTTATACTTTTCTTATATATAGCTGTTAGGTTTTTTAATAATACTTTGATCAGTGGATTGATCTTTGCCTTTTCAAATTTCATTTGATCTGAGTTGTCTTCATCTGCTATAGATGTTTGTAGATTTTTTATTTAATCAGTTAATATTTATATTCCATTTTGTTTTATGTAAGTATACAGTACTTTATTAAATTTATCCACACAAATATTATGTACATAAATGATTAATTTTATTTTTATCATATTTAAAAGTACTTTAATAATTAAAAGCTTTCCTTCACTGATCAGGATTTTCTCAATATAAAAGTTTAGAAAATTTCGCAAGTAACATTAACCATAGAACTTAAAATTTAGACTGTCCGATGAAATGCTGTTTTACATTAGAACTGAATTCTAAATAGTTCAGTAACCTGAACCATGCATTTTAAAATAAATTAAATTCAGTTTGGAGTTCCTTTGAAATGATGTCGCAGCACAGCATGAAAACTTTCTGATTACTCCTGGTTTTTAAGATAATCAAAGAGGTTTAAGATAAAAATGTGCAGGGTAACAATATATACTAAAATGATATCCAATAAATGACAATGCATAGCTGCCATGTCTGCCAATTTTTTATTTTTAGCTTTTATTAATTGTGTTTGAGCAATGAATGAAATTTTTACTGACAGCATGAAACATGAGTTGTACGAATTTTATTCTCCCACTACACCCCTAATGATTTTCATCGTAAAATTTCTTATTAAATTTTATTTGATGTGAATTGCCTTAACCTACTGTAGACATTAGTATAACTTTACACGAAAAATTCAACTAATATTTTATCAGTTAATATCTGTATTTGTTTTAAATCAATATATAGTGCATTAAATTTATTTACACAGTAATGTGTATATTAATTGTCATTTTTATTTTCATCATATTTAAAAATACTTAGATTAATTAAAAGATCTGCTTTCCACCTTAGATTTTTTTCTTGGTATAAAAGTGTAAGCTAATTACGAAATGAAACCGCCCAAAGAACATAAAATTTTAAATATCTAATTAAATATAAATATATTTTACATCAAAATCATGTTATAAATAAATAATGTCAGGTATTATAAAGGGAGTTTTAGTCAATTTGACGTTCTTTTGAAATAGTGCCACAGAAGGGGGGGGGACTTTTCATATTTCAAGGATGGAAAGCAGACATTCTACTTTCATCGTGAAGTAGTTGAAAACCAAGCTGGGCTCAGGGGTTCCCAAAGTGTGCGCTGCTAAGCACTCTTGTTTACTCTTTTATGGAATCTAAATTCAAATCGCTTGTTGCGTAGGAAACCGACAATACTGCTCTCCTTGCGTACAGAATTTGGGTTGGGTTTGACAATACCGAATTCGATGCGAGAGATTTCCAGAAGCCCACATTCGATGGTCGCGTCACATCTGCAGGAGTTGCGGGTGCTCATTGGTGGTAGTATATAAGCCGCTGTAGGCCGCAGTGCCAAGTTAATTTATCGTAAGTGTAAGCAGTTAAATAGATGTAATAATAAAGTGGTCTTCATAGTGATACAGAGGGTTGTGACCAGGATGCCAAAACCCAGAACAGATAAACATTATAATATCTATTTAAACATATCTATGTGAGCAGTTTGGTTGCTTTGTTTTAATTGTGCTGTTTTGTATTTTCGTGAAAAGTTAGTCACAAAATGGAAAGATTTATACTAAATAAGCAAGCTGATAGTTCAAGTCAGAGTAATCAAGCCTCGACAAATGGCTGGGGAGCAAAAAGGCGGAAATATCACAAATGCGATGATAGCTGTTTGGACTTGGAAATTCTATCATCCGAAAGTATGCTCCCAAGTAAGCTAAAGCGACATATGAAGACCATTCACCCTACCATGGTTGAAAAATCGTGCGAGTTTCTTAGTAGGAAGTTGAGAAAACTACAACAAAAAAAAGAAGTGTTCGCTCAACAAGCTTCAGTACCTAGCAAGGCACTGCTAGCATCTTTCAAGGTGGCGAAGTGCAAGAAACCTCATACTATCACAGAAGAACTTATTTTACCGACTGCTCTCGATATGGTTAATATTATGGTAGGAAATCGGTGGGAAAACTAATTACAAAAATACCTTCATCTAATTAATTGAAGAATCCATCATATAGCTGAGGATCTCAATGACCAATTAATAGAGAAAATGAAAGGTGGGGAATTTGGTCTACAACTTGATGAGGCTACTGACAGTAATAAAGAGGCATACCTTATTTTTTATGAACGTTTTCTAGATGATAATATAATTCTTGAAGACCTTTTTTGTCAAAGCATCAGTCAAGTCTTAAAACTTATTTGAAATTCTTGGCAAGTTTATAACAGAAAATAATTTAGATCAGGAAAAGTATATTGGTGTGTGTAGTGACAGTGCTTCCTCAAACAGGTATGGAGGATTACAAGCTTTTATTCACAGTAAAGCATCGCATGCTATGTCAACCTGTTGTATCATCCATAGGGAAGCACTTGCATCAAAGTCGATGAGCTGTAAATTCATAGGTGTAGTAAATTACATGAAAATCAGGCCGCTGAAAGCAAAACTATTAAAAAAACTTAGCATGGACATGGAAGCTGAACACACACAGCCCTGCTACATTACTGCAGTTCACATTGGCTTTCACGTAGAAATGTCTTATCACACGCATTAGAACTACATCAAGAAAAATTAATGAAGATGGCAGTCAAGATTGTTTTCTCGAATTGCATAAATACACAAAGAGCGTATTATTTTTAGGTCCTCTAATGAGCTCGTTGTCTCTCAAACCTTTCGAAGCTCACTGAATGGTTTTCAAAATACTTTGCGGAAGAAATATTCAGGGATGCAATATCTTTTCCATTCTCAAGCTCCACCAGAATTCACAAGAAGATAAGGGTCTCATTGCGACAACAGCCTTAAACAAAATTCGCTTGTTCCAATTTGGTAAAGTTTTAGATAATCATCAAAAATGAGTGTCCAACTCTTAAGTTCAAAAGCTTCAAGGGTTCTCATTCCTTTTGCAACATCATATTTATGCAAAACCTGATTTTCAGCTGTAGCTGAAATAAAGGGTAAAATATTGTTCAAAGATGAAGGTGGAGCAAGAAATGAGAGTAGCAGTTTCAAGTCTTATCCCTCCCTTGAAAAACTTTGTGGAGATCAGCAAGCTCACCCGTCCTATTGATTTTTTTCCTATTTTCTTTAATAATAATAATATACAGTACAAAGTCCGTAATCGGGACTTCGGCGATTCCGGATTATAGATCATCAATTTAAATCTGGTAAGATGGCCTGCAGAAATTATACAATTAAAAATATGAAACCGTAATTTATGAAATAAAGAGCAATTATGATCTAAAAGGTATCAAAATTTACAAAAAAGCTTAATATTTGTTTACTTTATTAAATTTATTGTTTATTATTTTATTAAAATTTATTTGTTTATTTATTTCTTCAATGTAAATTGCTTCGTTTTTTTGTGCTAATACTGTCTCTTTAATTTTGTCTTCTATAAACAGACATAATTTCTTGTTCAGTTACAAAGTTTCCAGGGTTCGTAGCGGTCCTTACAAGTGCTTATAAGTCCTTATATTTGAAAATAAAATATAAAGGCCCTTATAGGTGCTTACTTTTTCTTTTTAAAGCCTTATTTTTTTTTTTTTAGTAGGCTTATTTTTTGCTTTTAGTGCTTTTTTTTTTTTTTTTTTTTTTTTAATGAACGCGCATTTTTTGCCCGTAACTTTTCTTCCTTATATGCAACGTCAGATGGTGAATCTACTCCCGAAATTGCTTTTCCCCCCTTCTCTGCATTACCGTAACTATGGTGCGCGCAAGAATTCCTCCCACCCAAATACTACACACATTTGAATTTCTATCAAGATTTTAATAATTTTCATTCTCGGTCCGCGTGGTCAGTTCATATTCGTG